TATCAGTTAGTAACATTTTTTGCGCTTAACAAAAAATGTTTCTGTGTTATTTCTAATTTTATTTCCTTTAATTTTTAATAAAATGTATATTAAAAGTTATGCACAAAATATTTTTGCAAAAGTTACAAAAATTTTTTAAAAAATAAATTTATTTTTTTTTATAAATTTTTTACTCGTTTTTTTTGTAGGCAATGAAGCGCTTTCTCAATGCTTGCTCACCTGATTTACCTGATGGACCAATTGATCAACGATTTCAAACTCAGGTAAATTTTTTTAATTCCTTAATTTTTAAAAAAATTTTTTAATGCATAATAATTTACATTGTCTGTAATTAAAATATTAATCTAATAAAACATCCCTGCTTTTTTCCACATCCATTCTTATTAAATTTATTATTTTAATTTACAAAAAAAAAAAAATTTTCTTTAAAATAATATAATTGAAATTAATTAAACAAATATAAATATAATGTCACTGATATTAAATCATACAATTATAAAATTTTTATAGCTTTTAATAATTTTGATAAATAATATATATGTAAAAAGAGCTAAAAAAATATTTAAAAAATATTATAATTTTATAATTTAGAAATAAAATTATGAATGGTTTGAAAAAAAAAAAACGATTAATAAATTTTTGAATTTTATTCAGAATTAGCAAAAATAAAAAAATAAAATTATTGATTGTTATACTTTTTTTTCATATATAATATTATTTATAGGTAATCGAGTGTACAGCAGATGATCAGAAGAAAATACGTCGACGTTTAGCTATTTTGATCAGTCAGATCGAACGTGCTCAACGCTACAGTGCTGCTGAATTTTAAATTTTAATTTTAAATTTGAAATTAAAAATTGTGTTCATGCGTTTATCATTTTTATTTATCATTCTCTTATAGTTTTTTTTTTTTTTTTCTTCAGTACGAAAATTCAATTTCCAATGCCTTTTTTAAATTTATAAATATGAATATTTTTGAAATTAAAAAACATTGAAATTATCAAATAAAAATTAAAACTTTTCATATAATTTTTAATAATTAATACTTCAAAAATAAAAACGATAGTAAAAAAAAAATAAAATAAAATGATAAAAAACATTGAAATTAATGTTACATTTGAAATAATTACCCAAATTAATTAGCATATTTTAATAAATTTAAATGCTCAATAAATAAATTTAAAAGAGAGAAAGAAATATGCATTAAATAATAGTAATTTATGTTATTAATTAAATGTTTTTCCTTTTTTTGTTTCTCTTCTTTAAGTGTTATTTATTCGTTTTGTTAAAAATCATTTAAATAAATTTTTTCTTATCAAATTTTAAAAAATTATTTGGAATGTTTGTAACCAACAAAAAAAGAAAAGAAAAGAAAAGAAAAAAAGATTAATGAAGAAATATTATTTTGAAAAATATTATTTTGCATTCATTTTAAAATTATTTAATTCATAAATATAACTATCTTTTGCTCAATTATTTTATGTGACATTTTCTGTTACTGTCATTTGATAATAGGCGAAAGAAAGAAAGAAGAAATAATTTAGTTTAAAAAAAAAAAAATGAAATATATTTTAAAATTTTAAACAAAAAAAAAAAAAAAAACGATTCGAATAAATCAACAGATATTCATTTATTAATTACTATGATATTAAAAAAAAAAAAATGATAAGTGATAAGAATTATTTTTTATTCAAAAAAAAAAAAAGGAGAGAGAAATAAAGAAAAGATTTTAGAAAATTTAATGATTTATCTTACTTTTTATCCATTTCAAACAAACATTCACAGTTTTTTATTCCATTGGTATTCATTTCAATTCGATAAATGAATGATAGATATTATCGATTTGAAAAAAAAAAAAATTTATACCAAAAAATTTTTACTTTCTATTTTTTTTATTTTGAAACAAATTTTTTTCCCACTTTTTTTCTATATATTCAATAAAATCTATACACAGTAATTACTGATGAAAATATAATTTGCAGTAATTAGTATTTTCATAGGGTAAAGAATAAATTTAAGTTTGGAAAGAATTAACTAATTGTAAAGTGGATAGAATGTATGATTAGAACAAAAAAAAAAAAATTAAAAAAAATAAATCGATATGAAAGATAAATAAATAAATAAGTATGAAAGATTATTATCGCAAGCAATTATTGAATAAAAAATTCTTCAATAAAATTTTTGATTGAAGGAAACGAAGGGAAATAATATGCAAATATTGTTGAAATGTTAAATTTTATAATTTTAATAGCTATATTGATTATTGGATATTAATTTTTTTTTTTTTTATTTTTGATAATTCACTTTTTATGTTTTAAAATGAAAAATGAAAAATGCATAAAAATTATTATAAATTACATTTTCCACTTTTTTTTTTTCATTTTGATTAATGAAATGTGACATATCATTTATATCGCTGAATTATTCCACTTAATACGCTGAAATTTGATTAAAATAGTCGAGAAAAAATATTACGTGTTAATTGGTATAACGCATTTTTATAACGTACGTTATTTATGTGTAACGTACGTTATAATATCACTGGCATACGTCATTGACAATTACTTAAATGCGTTTAAATACGCCATTTTATACATGAAATATAATTAATACAAACTTTTACACACAAAATACCGCAATCACAAGTTATTTTTTAAGCACGACCGATACACGGAACACTCAATTGTTACGCAAAATAGACGTGCGTGACTGTTGCGTCAAGCATAAATGGTGCACGTACCATTCATTTATTACCCAAAATTGACGTTCGTAACTGTTAGGTCGCATAAATGATACACGCATCATTTTTTTGTTACACAAAATCGACGTGTACGTCAAGTAAAAATGACGTAAGTATAAAAGAATAATGACTGTTAAAGGCATTCATCGTTTATCTGTTTGCATAATTAATCAATGAGTCAACTTAAGATATATCGCGTAATAGTAATTAAATTCAATTTACCTTTGCAAATATGACTTTCTCTTTACAGCAAAAAACAAAACGTTGTATGGAACGCATAAAAGATAATTAAATTGGTGGTACTTACTTGAAGTCAGCTTTCATAGTTAAATTATACAAAGTTAAATATTACCTAAAAATAAGTAAACAACAAAAAAAAAAACAAAAACAACAAATCTCTTTTTAACTGCAAATAGATCTTTAATGGGATTGTAAATTTCATAATTGTTTTGGTTTGTTGTATGTTTGTAGCGATGACTTAATTGGTGGTACTTACTTGAAGTCAGTTTATTGATTAAGGTCGTTCTTATGTTAAGGTCATCGCACTTATCTCCTTATTATTGTCAATTTATTCACGGGTAAATATCATTTATATTCTTATTGGCAGATTATTGATGGGCAGATATCATTTATATTCTTATTAGTAGCAAATTATTCGTGGGTAAATTTTTGTTAATAACTTATCTTATTTTCCTATTGTCATATCATTGTGATAAAGACACCAAAATTGATAGTGTCAATAAGTTTCTTATCCAGAATTATGAGGAATATGCTTATTTGCAAATTATTGAAACACTTATAGTTAAAATATATTTTTTTCTTTCTAAAATTTAGTTTCTTTTGAAAATACTTTTTTCTTTCATTGTCAATTTTAATTTTACATGTTGGGAAATTTGGAACATTTTTTGAAATATAAATGAAGTTATTTTTTTATTTCTGTGTGAAAATTTCATCAAACGAAAATGAAAAAGATGCAAAAACTAAAAATTGCCGTGTTAAGAATGTTAAGTTAAAATTATTTTTTCGATATATATGAAATTTCTATTTTCAAATGCATGCATATTTTAATTGACGTAAATGTAAAAATGAAAAATTTGTTTAAACTTTTAATGTGCGATTGAGTCCTTGATTCTATTTTTTGAAGATTATTTTTCAACTTTATCACAGTATTCTTCATTTCGTGTAGCTCTTTTCAAATAGTCAATTTCTATTTTTGTTTCACTTCTTTACTTTTTTTTTTCGAATTTTGCAACATTTGATTATGAAATGAAAATGAGGACACGAAAATAGAGAAAGAAAAGCAAACTGTTTGAAATTATTATAATATAATAATCATCGATAGAATTGGTAAAGTACTGGTTAAATTTAATTGGAATAAGGTTCGTTAATGGTCTTTTGTGTGTATGTTTTAGCTTTTTGATGCAACTACGACTCCTTCGAGACAGGGAATTAGACTGGGATGAAAATAGCACATTTATAAGTATTAAAAGGCAACAACTGATGGTACAGCAGCATTGTGATAGCAAATAGAAAACATAAACAGGAGAAGAGAAGAAGGGTCTCAGCATCAAATGGATAATTGTTTGAAGAGCAGTGGAATGTTTCTATGAAATGCGGGATCGTTATGGTGCTTCATGAACAACAACGCTTATATATCAGTTATTTTATCGTTAGTTTCATTTTCTTATTTGTTTCTTTTTTCAGATTTTTGTTTTTTGTTTTTTTAATCATAATTAAATTAGAATGACTACATGAGGTGAAACAAAATAATGGATGGGATAAGAGTGATTGCTGATAACTTGAATGGTTAATTAAATTTAATAAGTATGATTGTTGTTAACGTTATTATTGTTATAATTATGGTTGATGTTGTGTAAAAAGTGATAGTAGAAAAATCATTTTTATTTGAAATTTTTCATAGGAAAAATTAAAAAAATAATTATAGAAAAATTTCAAAATATATTTTGGTTCCACTCAGCGGCGTACTTTGTTTACTATATTTTGAATATCTTTTTTGTTTGTTTAGCTCTTCTGCATTTATTTTTTGCTAGTATGGGCTTCAAATTAATGCTTATTGATTAATTGTCATTCCTGTACCAAATTAGTTTATCAAATCCTAATATTGTATATACTAACTCTTGAGACATAGTCCTATTTTTTAAACATTTTTCTAAATGAATTAAATTCACATTAATGTTTTAATTTGAGTATTTCTAATTATAGGACTCAAAAGATTGCAAAAATTTGATGTATGTATGCAATGAATACGAGCAGTCAGTTAGCCGCCGGGAGCGCGCTTGACTCATCATCCGTTCAACAACTGAGTACGACCAAAGAGGATTTGAAAACTCATTTCATCACACGTGAAGGTGTTTATAGACAAATGACTCTTTCCGAATATTCACGGCCAAATCGCGTCGCGTTAAACCAGGTTTTTTTTGCTAAATTGAATTTTAAGAGTTATAAATGATATGGAAATTTATTACGGAAATTCACTGTAAGTGCTATGTTCATTTTATATGAACATTTAAAAAGGGTAAAAATAGAGTTGTTAGAAAATTCTGGGAAGAAAACTTCTGAAGTTTTAGCTTCCTTTCTGTTAACTTTGGATAAATTTTTTGATTCTTACTGGTTATACATTTCGTACATGAAGAAATGGAGTTTTTTTTTTTTTTTTTTTCATTTGTAAGAATACCACAGATTGAGAAACATTTGTTAATTTCATATCACATTACTCTTCAATTATTGGTTGCTTGAAGATTTTATGACTGAATGTACATTGTTAGATAAGTTACTATAACTGTTACTTTGGGAAAATCGAAATTCAGTAATTTCTGTCATGTCATCAGGGTGGTAATAATGTTGGTAACGCACCTGTTCGGGTATCCTTTCTAACCATTCGTCCGACGGCATCCACTTCACAACAACACGAATCTATTGAAAATATGATGTTGAACGGTAGCATACCAACATTGCGCAATTTGGTGTTAGATACGGATTTGGAACATAATTTGGATGAAAGTGATTCTCCTGCTTATTCGGAATCTGATGTTAGTACCAGTAACGATCGGATATGCTTCAATGTTGGCCGTGAATTATATGTTTTTGTTTATCGGTACGTTTTAAGTAATTTAATTTCGATATTTTTGTTGTTAAGGTTATCAAAAAATTCTATAGGATTTCCTTTACACCTTGTCTTAGGGAAGGCATTTAAAGTTTTGACTTATAAGAAAATCCATTGATTTCCTTGACTTCGTAAATTATTCCAAATTTTATTGAGTGAATAATCGTTATTATAAGCCACACATAGGTTAATTATTTCAGAGGTGTTCAAAGTGCTGTCGATTTGAATAAGCCAATTGATAAGCGAGTATATAAAGGTACTTATCCTACATCGCATGATTTTAATCAAGAAACCGCTACCACGACTTCATGCAGGTTCTTTTAACATCTCTTGCTTTTAAATTAAGCAACATTCGATATATTTCAGGTTGTTTTCAACAATCTTATTTAAAACCAACTATTATACATTATTATATAATAAGCGAAATATAATATAATAAGCGGGTAGTATTATCATTTTTTTTATATCCACTGTACCTCACTCTGTTTTGGAAATAGCACAAGAATAGCATAGTAAATTGGTTAGGAGTTCGGATTATTTTGGAGGCAAAAAATTCCTTAGTGGATAAAGGCAACAATCTTGCTGTGTTTGTATTAGATTTATCCATGCTATTTCTTAGAAAAATGAGATGATGAGGTCTTATAAATAATTTAAGAAAAAAAAAATAGCAACTAACTCTTATAAATAATTTCTTTTGTTCTCTACATTCTTATAAAATAATTTGTCTTTCGTTCTTTTTTTTTTTTGAATGACTTGGAAATGACTTTTTTTTTTTTTTGAATGACAAGTAAAAAGATGCAAAAAAAAAAAGAAATGATAGCAGTGATAATTATCAGCTTGATTATCGGTTTCTCTGCTGGACAAATTCAGCTTATTGATCCATTTCGGAACGATTTACAAATCAGTCGGCTATATAATGAAGATAGATTAATTGACAAAACCGCAGTAACTTGTTTGAAGTGGATCCCCGGTGAGCTATTTTTGTTATTCAAATCGAAATTCAAAAGAAAAAAATTTTTGTCAGGATTATACTTAGTTAATTTTTGAAAATGTGTCTTTAAATTTATGATTACTGCGGCTCTTAAAACCAGCTATTTCAGACCTCCATGTCATATGTTTGCATTCAAAAGACAATTGCAGGTCAACAGCAATGTTTTCTGGCATCGCATTCCAGTGGTAATGCATATTTGTATAACGAGAATTTACCCTGCAATCCATCACCTCCTGTTTATCAGATTTTCAAGCAGGTAAATTTTCAATATTTTCTCAAACTTAACCCACTCAGAGTGGAAACTAATTTCAATAGACAATGGAATCAAGCAGTTCAATAAATACGTTAACTTTACACTTTTAGGGAGATGGATATACAATTTATACTTGTAAAACCAAAACGTCAAGAAATCCAGTTTATCGTTGGGCAGTTGGAAGTGGTACGCTTCATGAATTTGCATTCTCTCCCAGTGACGATACCAAATTGCTTGCTACAGTCAGTCAGGTAAGCAGTAACTATTAAATAAAAAGCTTGCAATTAGTTCACATTTGCTGTTTTCATATTTCTATCGTATTAATTTACTTCGTCTTTTCCGTTATTTTCTTCACCTGTGAAAGCCAAGAATTTAAAACATATCTGCATTACAAAACAAAATCACTTAGCTAAAAGAAGAGGGAATTATTATTTAAACCGGATTTAATAATTCATACAAATTAGCTCAAAATCGGAAGTTACGATATACTTATTTAGAACCACATTCACTTGAGCTTAGTTGTTTTATCTGCATTGTATTTGATCTGTATACATTCTATTATGAATATTTGATATATCTTCGCAGTAAAATCTTCGTAGTGATATGATACTATACATGCGAGCCTAGAATTTGTATGTCACTGATCACTTCATAATTGTGCGCTAATTTTAAGATTTAATAAAAAAAAATTTTTTTCCATTAATTTTATTTTTTTAGGATGGTTTTTTGAGAATTTTCAATTACCATACAATGGAATTACTGGCTTATATGAAATCCTATTTTGGTGGATTACTTTGTCTAGCATGGAGTCCCGATGCACGATACATTGTTACTGGCGGTGAAGATGATTTGATAACTGTTTACTCGGTTGTTGAGAAGCGAGTCGTTTGTCGAGGTCAAGGACATAGAAGTTGGATTTCTAAAGTAGGTTGCTCATTTTCTCCATTTATCCTAAACATGTGAAGCTGTAAAAAAGAAGAAAAAAATGCCATAATTTTATATGAAAAATTCCTGAGTTTTTGGTAACTGAAGGAAATGAAGTAATTTTGAAACTTTTAAAGTTAGAACTATATTTTGAAGTTTTTAAGCATTTAAAAATGCACCATAATTTTTCTTTTTTAGTTTTTTTTTGAAATATCAATAACTCCAGCTGAAAATTTTTGATTCTGTGGTGGAACTGCGGTTTTTTGATTAGTTACTTAAATTACGTTCTCATAGAGGAGATTGTAGTACATTTTGATTGATTTTAAATACTTTAATTTTAGGTAGCTTTCGATCCTTATACATCATGTGGATCAGATACCGTCGGTCACTCAGGTATTCCAGTTGATCTTGGTTCCGAAGAAGATTTGCAACCATCAAATTTAAATAGCAATGATGTGCTATTCAAAAGTTTGTTACTTTCTTTAAAAGTGCTAAGATTTAAACATTTTGCAAATGAGATTGGAAGCAAGCATCCTTGATGTGGTTTTAATTGGATCAGTGCTTTGGATGTTAAAAAAGATACCTTCTTCATAAAAGTTCATCTCTTTTACAAGTTTTATATGAAAATATATTTTCTAAAAGTTTCATAAATATTTATTACTGCTTTTTCAACAGGTCTAACAACTATTATCCTTCATCACACATTCCAGAAATTCTGTTTTAATAGGTTCAGCTCCACAGTCAGTAAATCGTATACTTATCAATAATGTACAATTTAATGGACCATCATCTCTTGGTGATCTGCAGTCAACTTCAACCTCTGTTCCATTATCTTCGTTAAAAAATTCGAGTTCGTTTTTCCAAACGGTTTTTAATTACGAATTTGTTTCCTAAAACATTACTTTAAATATTTTAACGGAAAGAAGAATATCAGTGTGTGATAAAAAATATTAATTGAAAAAATAGTTGCAATGATTGCTATGAGTAATAAAACATACAGTGGTATTAATAAATACTCTTCTTAGTTTTAGCGCATTGATTTTTTTTTTTTTTTTTTGCAGAAGACGTTTTGTTAGAACTTTTTGACTTCAGTTTTGTTATTGTTTAACTTCAAGTTTAGCGATGTGCTTAGTTGCTGTTGCTTATTCAGTGTATAGTAAAAATAATTAGGTATGAATAGGAATATTTCAGATGGTGATTCGGTGCCAAATGTTCGAGGCGGAATGCAGTCAAATGTTCAAACACAACCACGGAAAGATTCTCTTTCTTTGTTATCTGCAACCGGTGGCGCTTATACCAATATGGGTGTTACTTACAGGTTCATCTATGCATTTTCATTCCGGACAGTACCCGAAAGACTCGGCTTTATCTTTTAAATGTTTTACTTAATCCGTAGTTGATTCTAAGAAGCTTACTGCAATAGCTTATTATTTGTTGTAATCAGGTATCTTGTTAGAGTAAAAGTAAGGTAAAAACTATCTTACTGATTGACAGAATGCTAAAAAGCCTACAACTTGTCTATAAAAAATGTGAATTTATTAATGATTCATTGATTCCACAAATGTTTCTTTTTTGGTTTTTGTTTTTAAATAGTTTTGTATATTTATTGTTTTTCATATGTATTAACAATTTATACCATATTTATGTTTTTAGAATTGGTTCAGTGGGTCATGATACGCAGCTATGTTTATGGGATTTAACGGAAAGTGTGTTGAGACAGACAGCACCCACCCATCGTACATCAACTGTTATTTCAATTGGAACTGACCAGGTACTTTTTTTTTTAAATTGTAAATCTTTTAGTGAAATTTTAGCAAAAATGGAAGGGTATATTTGAATTATTTGTTTATTTTTTCTTTCTTTTTTGGAACGATTATTGTATTTAATGTACAGAATATGGTAATGTGTACAAACTTGGAATCGGCAAAACCTGCGACTGTTGACATTCGAGAACGACCACATGGCAAAGAGAAAAAACACAAACGCGGTTTTAGTTTTGCTGCGAAATTGACTGGTAGTTCACATGAGAGGTAAATTATATGTATGAAGGCGAAAAAAAGAGAAAATATGAGATACGCTACTTGCACATTATCAAATATATATGAAAAGAAAACAATTAATTGAAACACAAAGAAAAATTTTTTAAATTCTGAACTTTCTTATAGGTGGAATAGAAATCATTCAACTGCTGTAGCAAATGAGAAAGATAAAGAAAATTCAGCGAAATTCTTGGGAACACCGGTATGTCCACGAATGGAAGAAATAGCTATAATTGAACCACTGATTTGCAAGAAAATCGCTCATGAACGATTAACGGGATTAATATTTCGTGAAGATTGCGTGGTAACTGCATGTCAAGAAGGTTTCATATTAACTTGGGCTCGACCAGGCAAGGTACTATGAAATGTCTTTCTGAACCGTAAAGTTTTTTTTGTTTTTTTTCTCTTTTTCCACTAATATTTTAGGAAAAATATCAGCGATTGTTTTCCCAACAATCGCTTACCTTGAAAATTTTGTGTATTACATTTCTTACACTATTTATTTGTCGTAGTAAATATCAAACCTTTCGATGTATGCATCATTTATGAAGCTTAAGTTGCATGCAGTCAGGTGGCATATATGTGAAATTAAGCTGTTTGCTCAAAGGATGGAAATGAGATATGTTTTTCTTGGCTAGTAAAATGAAATTATTTCAATATTAAAAATAAGGAATTATGCCAATTAAAGGACTTTAAAATAATCAAATTTGAGGCAGTGATGCAGCGACACTCAATGAATTCACCGATCCCAGTAAATCTCAGTGGAACTGTAGTTTGAATTAATATATCTAGTCTTCAAGAAGCGGGTTTTGCTAGAGAAGTTTTGGTATTGTTTCTGTTATCAATTGATTAGATAGTTTTGTGTCATAGTTTTGTTTAAAGTAATTTTTGTAGTAATGTGTTTGTCCGCTACAAGAAATTAAGGCTAACATTTGGAGAAATTGCGTATTAATATGTTATGCTTGTCACTGCAATCCTTTCATAAATTTTCTCTTTTGTTTCAAGATGCCAACAATTTGGCCTTTTACTATTTCACATAAGAAATTCGATCACTTCATAATTTTGAAAAACTTTCATCAAATTTGCTTATCGTTCCCATTATTAAATAATTTTAATGTTAGAATTGAAAGGATACAGCAGTAGCCAATTTCCTATTTCTTTGTTCTTTTTTTGTCAGGTAATGCTGGAAACTTGAAAAGCAATTTTTTTTTTTTTTAATAGCTGTTCATCTCGGTGATTTCTTATTTTGTAGTGTTGTGATATTTATTGGTGCAGTACGGGGCATCACGAGAACGATAATGAACATATCATTTCAAGGCAAATTTGATTGATTTTAAAGGTGCTTCACATATTCTATTGCTAAGACTATTTGTTCGTCATTATTTCCTTCAGTTCTAATTTTAAAGTTAGTTTGATTTTAATGAAAATAGTGAATTGGAAAAGCATCATCTTTCGTACTGCTTATACTTTTACGGTTGTTCAGCTTCATTTTCTATCTTTCCATGTGGAAGTTTTATAAATACGTTTTTCTAAAGTACTTTTATAAGTTGCTATTTGATGAATACGCGTATCTAATGTTATTTGGTCCAGTTCAGAAATTTCTCTGAATTATTTCAAGCTGGTAGTCAAGAATGTCTGCACGGGTTAATATGAAATTTGAGAAGTTGTTGCAGGATACTAAGTAAAATGAAAGATGTATAAGTTGCAGTTACCGAAAGACAGATTTTATTATATCACATAAGTTCGAACTTTCCCATTAAACAATTTTGGTTTGTAATTTTTACGGTTTAATCACTTTCTCATTTATAACATTATTCTGAGTTGATTTTAATTTTTCATGTATATTGCAGGCATTTCATTTTAAATAGTAGTAATGTAATCGACCAGCTAATTTAAAATTGATGTGTAAGCATACGGTTTCTGATACATGTTGCTGGTATTACTGCACCTAAACTGTATCAGTAGTAATTTATGCGAACATTTGTAAATCTTTAACAAATTGCTTGGTAAGTAATAATGAAATTATCTGTATTTAATAAATAGAATTTAATAAGTAACACATTTATGCGTGCCCTAAATTTTATTCTTTTTTTCTCATGATCTCGGAGAATTGTACAACAAAAAACATACTTAATTTTCTCATGACATTTGATTTCTTCTTAGCTGATAGGAGCATTACATTTGATGGTTTTTTCATCAGCAAGACCTGGCCTGACAGCATTCTTCAAAGTTTAACTATTATAAGCTGAGTTCATGCAGAATGGTTTAATAACTATTAACTTTTTCAACAATGCAAAAATAGCATTCCTAAGCAATCTGTTAAAAACTTCTTAACACTAGAATATTTTAAATTTGTATTTCAAAAAAAGGGTGAATATATAAAATTAACTAATTTTTTATTGGTGAAATGTCTGGAGAAAGCAAACGATTATTGATTTCGCCCTCTTGATTTGGATTTATAATACCATCAAATGAAACTTTCCTTGTTGATATTATCTCATCATTCTGCAACAACAACTGATTAATACTAAATTCTAATATTAATTCACACAAAATATACGACAGACTTACTGGATGATACCATGCTGGACGTTCATGGCCAAACGGTTCTTGGTCGTTGTAGTTGTCATCGGCAGTCATTGCTATCGAACTCTCATCTTCATTTTCGGTGTTTATTTCAGACGACAAAGCATCGATGAAAAGCTTACGACGCAATGTATTCAGTGATAAGTTTGCTTCAAAAATCGGCACCTCACCTTCTTCATATTGAAAGCATTTGCCTAAAAAAAAACCTAAAGTAAAATACAGAAATTCATTAACTGATGTTATATGTTGAGTTAGACAGTTCAACGCTAAAATAATCTTAAATATAAAGTAAAAAATAATGATACTGATATAACAAAACTAATATTTGCTCTATTATTGCGCTCCTGTTACTTTTCTTTATTTCGTTTCAAAGATATTAACATATGTTTGTGAATAAACAACCTAGAAGTCCTATTAAGTCAAGGTTTGGTGGAAACGTAAACATAGTCTGCACTTCAACAGATCGTCCTGATTGAACAGGCCGAGCAAGCGGAGATTCCAGCATCTGTAAAAATCCTAACATTCAACAGAATCTTTAACAGCTAAAAAAAGCATTCAAAACAATATTAATGTGAATAAAACAGTCTTACATGCCATATTTTGATATAACTGATAAAAATTATGCATAAAATCGTCATGTTCCAGATAGAAATACCATATTTCAGCATGTACAGTTTACAAATACGAATTCAACATACCAAAGCTCGTGATCTCCTTATCATGCTTGGACTACAGTCTTGTTCTGATTTAGCCGATCCTTTCATCTTAAATGAAGACTTTATTAAGCCAATCCTAGATGGCATAACATGTAAAATTCCTCACATTTCTCTCAAATCATTCTGATTTCTTTTCTTATAAGATAAAAATACAGAAATTCTTATTTGAAATATTCTACAAGTTATTTTAAGAGGATTTTACGCACATCGAAATGAGATAAAATCAGATGCCAATTATCATTATGTTTCGCGAAATTGCTATATGATTGATGCGAGGATACAGAATAAACTTCCACTAATATTAATCATAAAGAAAACGTACAAAATAAGGAGATGGCAACACATATTTTTGGGATGCCCAAAATTTATCAATAGCTTTATTCATTTGAGCGTCTTCAACTGGATCCCTGAAAAGAATGCCATTGTGCAGTCTGATTCTCGTTGAGTAATTTGTTTATTAAAGAAATGTTATTTGGAAAGCAAAACGAACGAAACCAACGGTGTTTGACACATTGATTCAGCTTCATCAATAACTGCCGGATGAAAATCTGCCATTTGTCCAATTGACCAACGAAATGATTTTTCTGGAGTTTCACATTCTATATTTCTCTGAAAAAAAAATAAATAAAAAGTTGATAAATATTTAAAAAAATATTTGAAAGATTTAGAAAATTTAAAAACAATAACCATATAAATAAAGAAAAGCTAACCTTAGAGTTATTAAAAAGACTTGGACTGTATGTGGTTGCAGAAAGGCTTCCCATATCACTATCGAATGGATTTGTTATATGAGAACGTGCAGTACTATTATTCCTTAAGTAAAAATGAAACAAATCAATACAATATGGTCCAATAAAATTTGAAAAAATCCTGATGAATTATATACTGCTGAAATATCACTTTAATTAAATGAATAAATTTCAACCAACTTCAGTCGAATCGATCTTTCAGAAAGAATGTTGGATTCCAAAGCAGTTATTTCTATATTTTCTTTACCAGCTTCAGAAAATTTAGAATTTGATTCTATAAATGATGGCAATGCATCCTCTCTAAGCTTTATTTTTTTAACCTGAAAATTACTTTATCCTCAAGCGGATGTCCTGAAACAAAATTATACACAGAATTGTCAAAAAATTTTTTAGTATTAAGCTATCTAACTTTCAAAGTCTTAAATGAAATTCAAATCTACCAAGCTGTTAATAAGTACATCAAAAACAACATTTGTGAATAATAGCACAGTTTCTGATAACAGTAACAGCGAAATAATATTGTTTTTGGCTTTCCTTTCGCCGTACTATATATGTAGTCAAAATAAACATTTAAGATTCTCAAATTTGTTTTTGGAATTTAATAACTGGAAAAAAGAAATTCCACATAAAAAGAACCTTTGTGTCAGAATCTTGAAGCTCCGAGCATTCTTCGGAATTAGGAAAGCGTTGTTGCTCCGATAATAAACTGCAATTGGAACCTATGAACTGCACTTGATCTTTCAGAATCGGAGATAATTTCAGAGCTATAAATGCTTCAAAAAACAATGCGTTGTGAAAAATGTTTGTACATAAAAAAGAAATTTGAATGAAAATTGAAATTATCAAGATTAAATCAATAAAAATCCGACATCTTTCACTAATTGAGAAAACTTTAAAATTGTGAAAAAAAAAAAAAAAAAAAAAAATGAAGACTAGAAGTAATTACCATTCTGTCGGGTATTTTCGCTCTCTTCTCGTATATATGATCGCTCATCCAATCTCAGTACAGTACTATTAAATTTAGGTCTGTCGTATACGTCCGTATCAGAATCATCAGTTATGTTCATTAGCCTGCAATCGTTTTTCTGTACCTTTTTAATGTTTCTACAATAGTAAGCTTAAAATTTAAGAAAACCATCAAAGTTTTAGTATGGTATCGTTTCATTTCTAACATAAACAATATTTTTTAAGAAAAAAAAACAAAGAAAAAAGTGAAAAACTAAAAATTTGTAAAACCAAATGAAAATTACTTTTGAAAAATAATGAAATATAACAAGAATATTAAAGAGAAAAAGATCATGAAAGTAAAATAGAAAGATGTGGAAAATGTAAAGAAATAAGAAACAAAAAAGATTGGAAAAGGTAATAATAAAAATATAATCAAAATATGATATAAAAATGATGATGTAAAGGTCATAAATTAGAAAGGTCAAAAGATATTCAAAAGAAACAAAAAAGAAAAAAGAGTGAGAAGATAAATGGAAGTATCACAAAGCATTGTTTTCATTTCAAATTATCATTTGAAAATTTAATAGAAAGGTTTGAAAATATTATTCCGACCAAATCAATGTGGCACAAATACATGACGTCGCGTCTCGTCGTCATTTATATGTTTTATATTTTCCTACGTAATGTAATGACATGTTTGATTTTCACGTACGCTAGCAAAAAATATTCCAAATTAGAATTATTAGGATTACATATTTCTGTTGTCTTGTATAATATAA